AAATGACGAGCTACACGAGATCTACCAACGAAAAAAAAAACTTCCTCTCTCTCTCCTGGCGGTCTCTCTCCTCTCTCTCTCTCCTGGCTGTCTCTCCCCTCTCTCTTTCATGGCTGTCTCTCCTATCTGTCTCTCTCCTGGCTCACCTTGCTGTATTTTGCTGTGTAAACTAATATTCTTTGATGTAATACATGGCACTTCAACCACCAGTATCCCCCAGAAAGGTGTCAGGGAGCTTGGCTTAGCAGACTCAGGCTAATAGGTAATCATGTGTGCACAGCTAAATAAATATACCAACATGGAATAAAGGGGCCGCCATTCCCCCCCCTTCTTGATCTACCAGCATCAGCTTTGAGAGCTACTGGTAGATCACGACCTACCTAATGGGCACCCCTGCCTTCGATTGTATCAAGAATGAATAGGAGACCTAATGGGTCCTGAAAACCTGAATCTTTAATAACTTAAAGTGACACGAAACTCAGGAGTTAAATCTTAAAATTACATTCAAGTTCCTTAACTCTGACCAACAATGTATCTTATTTGTGTATCACTCGGCTGTAGATCCTCAAATCATCTCTGAATTGGTGCTGACACTGTCCTTCCTTCTGGAGAGGCAGGGGCTTAACTAGAAATCACAGGGCCCCCTTAGCAAAATTTTGTATGGGGCCCTGTTTTTTTTTTTAGTTAAGCCCACCTGATAACCCAAACAGCCCACCTGAGGGTGAACCTGCAGGGCCCCCCTTAGGCTCTCTATAGGGGGCTCTGCAGGGCAGTGACGTGCCCTGCCTTGTGTGCTGGGTGAGGCAGTGACGTGACGTGCCGCGCCTTGTCTGATTGGTGAGGCATCCCCCCATCCAGTCGAAGCCCCACTCCCAGCTTCGGTAACCAAGCTGTGTGAGGAGGAGGAGGGAGGGAAGAGAAGCCTCCCTGTCCCTCACTTGCTGGACTGCTGAAGGTGGCCGGAGGACACAGGTCCCCCGAGCGTGCCGAGCTGACTGGTGACACTTGAATCCTGCCCTCGCGTGACGAGCTGGCCGGTCGCACTCTGACTTTTTTGGATTTTTTCCCGGGCGACGGGTGCTGTCCCGTGGTGAGCGGCACCTGTTTTCAAGCCGAGAGTCAAAATGGAGGAAAAGGCAGTCCACCCGGGGAACACAGGCGTCGTCATGGACTGGCTCCGAACAGCCCATGGGTTGCGAAGGTCAGGTGCCAGCAGCCCGCGGGCTGCCGGAGTCCGGCTCAGGGGCGGCCGGGCTGAGGAGTGCAGCTACGACAGCTCTGGTGTTGCGAAGGTCAGGTGCCAGCATCCCACGGGCTCCCGGAGTCCGTCTGCAGCTACGACAGAGGCTCTGCTGGGGATCCAGAGAGAGGCTTGGACTCGTCGACCCCCGGCGTCGCTGTCTTCCGGTTGCGACA